TATTTTTGGGGGGCTTTTTGCCTTTATTGGATAGGACAGCTCAAGATGGACAGGAAAGGGGTGCCCATAATTTATTTTAACCAAAACCATAACATTTCCCCAAGCCTATTAAGATTGGTGGCTAATCCTAACCAAACTGCAAATGTTTCACAACTTAAACCACATGTTTCTTATTCTTACGATGATGACAAAGGTCACCTGACTATGGCAATGAAGGCCACCTGACTCTTTCCAAAACTTATAAGATGCGCCATATCTAACATTAAATGACACTTGAATAGTTTAAAACACATAGACATGATATACGGAATGTCTTTAAAAGTGGTGTGTGATTTATACGCCATCCCATGAAACAAGTTGGTCTGGGGGCATGTGGGTGGGGAACAGGGAGTGCAGGGGAGGCTGTGTGTCCAACGTGCACACATGAGAGATGTGGAATGGTAAATGGTAAATGGACTCTGCTTGTATAGTGCTTTTCTAGTCTACCGACCACTCAAAGTGCTTTTACGCTACCACATTCCATTCCACATTCACCCATACTCATACATTGAATGGCAAACCCCATCACACACAGAAACTAATATTCATCCACATTCATACACGGATGCACAGCATCAGGATCAATTCGGAGTTCAGCATCTTGCTCAAGGACACTTCAACATGCAGCAAGAGGAGCAGGAAATCAATTAGTGGACGACCCGCACTACCTCCTGAGCTACAGCTAAACAAAGGGCCTGTTTAATAATCAAGGTGTAAACAGAGTTAATATGGAGGCAAACCTTGGACAATTCCAATACAACAGCGATATAACATGTGAATTAAAAGTGAAAATGGCAACAAAAGAATCAAAATCATTGATGGGACTGCAACATATGTTGTCCCTGCAGAAACAAAATTCCACACTGAAGCTGTTTGTAGTTTAAGATTTTACATACACATGAAGTTCAGTGCAAGTTCAGGAAGACATTTTTTTTTACCTTCTTTGTACCTCATTCATCCACAATTCTCACTGTCAGTCTCCTTCTTGAAGTCTCTTCAGATTGAAATATAATCAGTGTATAGTGTATTACATGTATAGTATAATACTGAAGCATTATTTTTGAATGCAGGATCACTTTGTAATTGAGCACTTCTACCTTATGATTTTGCTACTTAAGTCAATCATCTGAATCCCTCCCAGGCAGGAAACAAAAGAGCATCCCATATCTATAATTGTTCTCAGTGTTCTTGTTGTCCTTGCTTTCATTTTTGGGATTTTGTTCTTCTACCTTGGCTGTGTTTTAAAACTTCTTTGATGTGCATTCATTTTGAACTCATTTGTATTCCCCCATTATTCTATAATTTCCTCTGCTCTCCTCCTCTCTGTCTGCTACATTGACAAACTTCACCCTTTCATCCACAGAACAAATGAAGAGCAGACAGCAGTCAACGCGGAGCTGCTGTTCATAGCTTCGGAGCGACGATGCATTATGCATGTTGTGTGCTCGTTACGACATCAAATGCCACACAGAGCCACGCACACCTGTCGTTACACGCACACACACACTGACTCACACGTCGTCATAAATTTTAGTGAGTGCACTTTAAAGATGCATTCATGCATTGAGTCAGATTGCTATTTACCATAGGCTTAAAGCTAATAAGATAAAGTGTGTGATTTTCTGAGCAGCTGATTGATGCCGCTGCCCCTTAGCATCTGGCCTAGCATTTAGTATGCTAAAAGAGGATAAACACACTAACGCATGCAAACATACACACATATATGCAACAGAGTTGCCAGTTTGGTAGGGAGAAACATTTTTCTTCCGTCTCTGTTCCTTTTCTCCATTCCCCTGTCTGTGTGTGCGTGTGTGTGTGCGTGCGTGTGTGTGTGTGTGTGTGTGTGTGTGTGTGTGTGTGTGTGTGTGTGTGATGGCTAATGAGGTGGAGGTGGGTGTCATCCTGTAAAGTCTCTTGTGATTGTAGAAATCTGTGACATGCGGTTGCACTGCATTATTTACTGTGTAAGTAGGAGATATCCAGTTCCAACTGGCTTTAATAGCTGCTCATCAGTGCTCCCTTAATCCCTTTACAGATAGTCTCTAATTTTACGAGGATGACCCTTAAACACACACACGCATACACAGTGCAGAAGCAATGTGACCCCTGCTGTGATAAGATCCCCCAGACAACCTTTATAAACTCCAACTACATTCCACGTAAACCCTCACAAGCACATTCCCACAGAGCCAACTATTACATAACAACCCATAATTTATTTTCAATCGTTTGTTAAGAGTGCAGAGAAGAGGCTTGCTTGCTTTTCCACTGGCATGTCTACATCCAGTTACACCTGCTCAACTCTGATAGGAGTTGTTTGAAATTTAATTCCATCATAAAAGCAAATGCATGTTGTCAGAAAGATTTGTGTCTCTCTTGTGCATCCTAAGTGTCTTTTCCAGCGACCATTAATCAGTTCAATCCTGCTACCAATATGCGTTTGGCTGTAGTTTCATGAATACAACATGGGGAGTACTCACCACATGGATGAAAACAGTAACAGTCCATTGGGTCGTCGATTTGCTAAATGTATTGACTTGCAACACAGAGAGGCTCTATTGTTAGAAATGGAATTCTGACCTCTGAGGTTAAAAGGTTACAGCAGTAAATACAGCAGCATAAAAGGCCTGTCTGAAAGTCTCTTTCTGCATAAAGTCACTCTGCTTGGGGGCCAGCTCTGATTAGATAAGTGGCAAATGACAGACAGAATGGGAAGATAAAGCAGCAGTCAAATCAGGTTGAATTGACTGTAATTGCAACCTGCCCACTGAGAAAGACTGTTCATGTGACCCTCCTACTGGTATTAATAAATTAAGGCATGTGTGGATTGGATTTCTCTCCCACTTAGTATAAGTGTTGATGATTTTCAAAGAGCAGTCAAATAAAGCACCGATCAGCAGTTTAAGTTGACAAAGACCACAAGTTTATTTTACACCAAGGGAGCTGAGTTTTACCAAGAAATACTGAGATTTATCTGCTGCAGTTTCTTTATGATTGATTACAGACTAACAACAATTATCGGATTGAACTGACTGTAATTACAAAAAAAAATAGGATGTTTGGATCTCCTGCTAGGCATCTAATTTGGTATTGATTTCTTTAAAACAGTCATCAGACATAGCACACAATCAACCTAACCATATACTGTATAAATAAAAAACAACCTACTACAGGGTACAGAGTACAAGGGTACTCTTCATGATGTAAAGGTGTGTTTTCCCATTCAGTTTGACCCTACTGTAGGAGCAGATGATAACTGCACATACATCCTGATTTCAAAGACATTATTGTAAAAAGTAACATTACATAGAAAGAAAAGGGAAAAGTAGAAAATTGTCTTTGGGATATGCAAAATATTTTATCTTAACATCCTAATCCTTTATAATCCTTATAATTCCAGCTCATGCTGATAGGCAAAACCTGTGGTAACACTAAGAATGTCCTAATTATACAACTCCCAGAGTTGCATTCAAAGCGGCAGGCAGGAAATACAACAGAGGAAGACGATCAACATGTTCATCTGTTTACAGTGCATGATGAAAACTTCATCAGCCAGATTATGTCATTATGTGACATACACCAGCTTGTTTTCAGAATTTTGTTCTGCATCATTTCTTGTGCATCTCTTGTGCGTTCCTTCCTATAAAATGTGTTCACTTAGCATGCTTTTACCGGCCACTACACCAAAATTGCTTCACAACCCAGCTCCGTTCCAGGGGCTTGATGTGCACGCCATTTGAATCCAGCACAGGAATGGCGGACTCCGCCACTGACAATGCAGCCTACCACATAGAAAGGTACGTAATGGGTGTAAATACATGTAATCTTTGTAAATACATGTAATGGCTACAGAAGAATGAATTCCAGCATCACTAAAATTTGCTTCACACTAAGCCTGAACCACCCTAAAAAGCATAATTATATGCCATTAGAGTTTTGAAGATGCTTTTTTTCATACTGATGCATTCATTGCTTTTTACATGATCACATTTTTCTTTTAAAATGGCAGTGTCAGTGAGGAAGAGTAAGGCTCCTATTTAGCATGCAGCTTCATAATAATGATAAACTTTATTTATATAACACTTAAAACGGCACTTCACAAGTGCTTTACAGTTAACACAAACAGAAACAGATAATCAACAATAAAAGCAATAGAAAAACAATGCATAATGGTACCCATAGATGCATACACGGCAGAACAGCAAGTCAGAATACAAAAAAAATTAGATACCTAAACAATAAGAGCACTGTAACAAACAAAACAAAATTAAGAAAATTAAACCAATAACAATTGCAATTGACAAACTTATAAAAATGCCAATCTGTACAAGTGGGTTTTTAAATGTTTTTTAAATGTGGTACAGACTCAGCTGACCTGACAGTGAGGGGGGAGGCAATTCCATAGTGTTGGAGCTAAAACAGTACAAGCACGGTCCCTCTTTGTTTGGAGCCTAGACCATGAGACATTTAAGAGCAGGCAGATCTTTAACTGAATTCTGAAGTGTACAGGAAGCCAGCGTAAGTATGCCAGAATGGATGTACTGTGCTCTCTTCATGATAAATGCATTGTCCCCATGTAGCAACAGAAGGCCAAAGACATTGTTTAGCTTGGATCACCCCTCCTGCCCCCTGCGGCGGATGATGTTTGATGACTGTGCTTAGGTGAATTGCCGCAGTGGTAGATGACACCGACCCTGGCACTATGCATTTAAAATAATGGATGCTGGAAATCCCACCCTGTAACAAATGGACAGAGTCACTGTCTTTTTAGCCATTGATTTAATACTGCATGTGTGTTTGTGTCAGCAGGGTTGTTCTGTCAGTGTGTAATGTGTCTCAAGTCGCAGTGTTGCATATCAGTTTGTGGCACACGCCCCCGTTGCATGGAAATAGATGGCACAGGGGTTAGAGTAGAGAGAGACAGAGAGCAGAACACATTTCCTGCATACCTCTCTGTTGCCCGTTCTCTCCCGTCTTCTCCCTCCCACTTCTGAGCGAGAGTGCCTAGCCAGCAGCACGCTCCTGTCTCTCTCACACTCACACTCTCCGTCTCTCTCTCCTCTCTCGCTCCCTCTCTCTCTCTTACTCTCTCTCAGTCAAAGGGGGGATTCTCCGTAACCAGCTGTATCTTAATGTGATCCTCTCTTCTCATCACCATTTCATTGATGTTCTCTCGTTTTTTGTTTTATTTTCTCTTCTGAATTAAATTACTCTGCTGCCGGTGTCACAGCTGGCGTCCAATGTTTGGATGCTACCAAGGTGCACAAAACGTAGAGGGAATGGAAGAGAACTTTTAAGGCTGCTACCAGTGGGTCTTTCTCTTGAATAGACACGCTGGATTGGTTCATTTGCTGTTGAGAGACTAGTCAACAATGGCAGGATTTTTGTTGTAGTGGATGACTCATTTAGGTTATTTTCCTCCCTTGAAACTGCTGGATACAGATTCTGTTTTTCTTTCTTTTGTTCCACCTGCATGTTTCACCTCTCAGCTACTCTGTAGAATCTTTTGGGACTTTTATGGAGTGTGAAATTTTTGCAGCAAGTGTGAAGTTTGGATGAGCAAAGTGATACGAAGCATGGCTGATGGAACTGCAGCTGAGTGTTGAACCCTTCTGTCCAGGGAGGCAGTCCAGGTAAGACTGTTTTTATTCTAATTCACTTACATGACCAGCTAGATTTGTCCACAAAGATACATTTACATGCATGCACTAAGGGCTGTTGTTCTAATCAGAGTACACAAGTTTATTATTGAAGGCTGAAATGTAATTAACCGAATTCATCTCTGCCCCTGGTGCTTTTGGAACAACAAATGACGCAAAGAAAGAATTCTTTCTCAATTATTTCTGTCTCAATCTATACAGCTTGGCAATAGACAGGACAAAGGAGACCTCTGTGACTGAGTAAAAAGTTCTCTATGTTCCTTTAACAGTTGCATCAACTCTGAGACATTTGCCTCTTTTTTTGTTTAACACACACCCTTGGTGCGTGCAATACAAAAACTTGTTTTGCCTGTATGCTCTCAGAGAGTGAGGATGCATTCAATCGTCATTCTGTTGACGTAAAGAATACTCAGATAGAATATCAGCCAATAACTTTAGCTCTCACTTCCATCAGAAAATCTTTCATCGTAAGATTTGATGATTTTGTCAGCATTAACCAATCAAAATGCCACTCTCACCTTTAAATCAGAATGCAGCACTGTTCACATTCGGTCCACACAGTGGTGGAATGTAACTTAGTACATTTACTCACATACTGTATTTTTTTAGGTACCTTTACCAGAGTATTTCCATTTTCTGCTATTTTAAACCTGACATATTGTTCTTTTTACTCCACTACATTTATTCAGTAGTATATAATTTAGTTATATATATATATATATATATATATAGTTATTTTGCAGATTTAGATTTTTAATATAAAATATAAATTAGCTTAATACATTATGAAATATTGTCATAGGTTAAGCTACCCAGAAGTATATAAGATGATAAACACATTAATGCATCATGCAATTATAATCCAGTAAAATAATATATATGAGTTTGAAATTAGCCATTCTGTATAATGAGTACTTTTACTTTTGGAATTTTAATTATATTTTAATGCAAATACAATTACACTTTACACAAGTAATATTTTGAATGCAGGACTATTTGTAAAAGTATTTTATACTGTAGTATTGCTATTTTTACTTCAGTATCTGAGTACTTCTTCCACAACTGGACAGTTGTGCTGTATGCCATCTAAAACCCTGAGATCAGAAACAAAGACACTGTTTCAAAACCTGTCTAACATTTAATTGCATGACCAATTAAGGGAAACTTTGGCAACCTTACAGGAACATACTTCATGGTATTTTATATTACATTAATATTTAATAGAATTGACATGAGCTTAAAGCTATTTTCAGAGCTGCTTTCTAAGCGTAAAATGAGGGATTTCATTTTCCTCAATATGAGTGAGAGCAAGCAGTCAGAGGTACTTCAAGTAAAAGAGACAGATTTTGCAAATGACTAGCAGAGATGGAGGCTATAAAAAGGAAGCTTTGCATTTACAGCATACTCATTAAGACCTTCCTTAATGACTTCTTCTGTCACAAATGGAGATTATAAATGAAGTCAAACAGGCCAGTATAGTTTCTCTGACTATAATAGTCCCATTTTTTTTCCACTTCAATGAAATTATAATCCAAGGATCACTTAGAAGACAAAGATTGATTACCAAATGTAATTTTTCTGTATAATTGCCACCCTCACCTCTTACATTTCTGTTCCCACACCTCCAGATATGACCACAGTGTCCATGGAGCCTGTGGGAGTCCTCGTGGAAAGGGGCGCCAATGCCACCGACTCCCCTCTGAACACGCATGAGGACACAGCCGCTACTTTTACCATCGGCACCATCCTCTCCATCATGTGCCTCGTTGGAGTCTCTGGGAACATCTACACCCTGGTGGTCATGTGCCACTCCATGAGGACTGCAGCCTCTATGTACATCTACATCATAAACTTGGCTTTGGCAGATCTGCTGTATCTTCTTACCATACCCTTTGTAGTCTGTACACACTTCCTAAAGGGATGGTACTTTGGGGACGCAGGGTGTCGGATTCTGATCAGCATGGACTTCCTGACCATGCATGCCAGCATCTTCACGCTGACAATCATGAGCACAGAGCGCTACTTTGCTGTGCTCAAGCCACTTGACACAGTCAAGCGGTCTAAAAGTTACCGGAAGGCCATCGCTCTGCTGGTCTGGGCTGCATCTCTCATCCTCACCCTACCGATGATCGTGAGCCTTCAGCTAATGGCAGTGGGAAACAAGGCTATGTGTCAGCCCACCTTGTCGCCACTCTCCTACAAAGTTTACATCTCCTTCCTCTTCTGCACTAGCATTGTCGCTCCAGGACTGATCATTGGCTATCTCTACATCCAGCTTGCACGCACTTATTGGGTTTCACAGACGGAGACCTTCAAACAGACCAAGAAACTACCCAACCAAAAGGTCAGTGCATCACAAGATAGTGTATTTTAAGGGATAGGGTCTTTTGGGGGTTCTACGCACTGAATATTTGCATGTACGTGCTCAGGCATATATGACAACATCACAAAAATAAGCTTTCTAATCTGGCCCTTGATTGGTGAAAGATCTAGTTAAGTTTAGGCACTGAAACTAAGACTTGGATAGTGTAAGGGAATGATCGCATTTGAAAAAAAAAAAAAAACACTCGGTTAAGACTGAGGAATGATCGTGGTCACAGTTTAAAAACATAGGGTGACTGTTGGCAGGAAACAAACAATGGTCTCTCGTGCAAAAGTTCCACCTTTTGTTGACCCAGCCAATTACCCCAACCTCCTCCCTTTGTGTACTTTGTGGAAGGAGGACAGTTTCTCCAAACCAATCTGATGCTCAGGTCTTGCTTCTCCTTTTTTGGTGGGCAGCATCACCCTAGACTGTCCCTCATATCTTACCCAGCCGGCAACAAAGCTGGAAATAGATCCAGACACATCCATCAGGTAGAATCTGATGAATTGGCAGGAAGTTAGGCAAGACACTGCTGTACAAACTAACACCGCAGACATTCCACTCACCAAGGCTGTTGATTTAGTCATACTCCTTATGGAGTATATTCGAACTTCTGAGGGAGGGGCCCTGTCTAGTAGCTCATAGGCTTGTGACATTGTCTCTTGCAGCTATTGTATGAACTGTTTGGGGGAGGGTATGCCAACAACACTGTCATCATAAAAGATAAATAGTTGCTATTTAAGAGTATATGACTGTGGCAGCATCAGTTCAGCTCTCTGCTTAAAGCATCCCATTATCAATCCTCTCCGTGCTGCTGCAGGTTTTCTATTTTCCTTCCCCCTTTTGCTTTCTGCTCATGCTGAGACAAAACCTGTTCCAATTTGCTTCATAGCAGGGCTTAAGATGATTTCATTTGGTCTTATTAGTGTAATTAGCAATGTGGCAAATGCTGCCCTTCAGTGGCATTAAAGGCTACCTTGGACCAATAGGGAATGCTGTCTAACTTTAAAAAGTGCCGCTGATGGAGGAATAATTAATTCTCCCTGTCTCTATCAGTGCTTTGTGTAGCTGTGGATCCCTTGCTGTGTTGCGTTACAGGAATTTCTTTTGCAGTGACTTAGGGTGGCTCAGTGGTGCGGTATCCGGTATTACCGCCACTTATTGTTGTACAACAGGATAATGTTTCATCTCAGTACCTGCTTGTAGTCTGCTGCAGACAGCTACCAGTTAGCCTTGCCACTCTGGGATACTTTCCCATCTTAAAAACATGATGTGATGATGTGACGTCACATGCAGTTGTGGCGGTGGCTTGCCGTCCCCTGCTGTTGGCTTACCAACAGTGTGGTATTTCATTATTGCGGTTATCGTGAAAGCCCTAGAGGCACGGTTTGATAAGCCATAATTAGTCTCAGTATCCAGATGATAACATTTTTTTATCATGGCATGGTAAGCATTTGATGTATCTGGTGCAGGAGTGATTCTCGTCAATGATTTATATATGTGTTCTTATGTCCCTAAAGGTGCTGTACCTGATCTTCACCATTGTGCTCCTCTTCTGGGCATGCTTCCTGCCTTTCTGGATATGGCAACTTCTGGGTCAGTTCAAACCCTCACTTTCCCTGTCCACCAAAGCCAAACGCAACATCAACTACCTGACCACGTGTCTGACGTATTCCAACAGCTGCATCAACCCTTTCCTGTACACTCTGCTCACCAAAAACTACAAGGAGTACCTGAGGAAGCACAAGCGGTCCTGGACAGCTGGCAGCTACTTCAACAGGAGGAGCCGCTTTCAGCGTTCGCCACGCAGGTCGCCATCTTCCAGCAGTCAGCAGTGCACCGAGAGCTTTATGCTCACGCACACAGCTTCCCTGCGAGCACACAACAGCAGTTTGTAAGGTAGGAGCAGATTTCTTTGGACTAAAATTTATGATTTTGGTAACTGATGAGAAAACCTAAAGTAAGACAATCTCTAAACTATAGCTTAAGATGTTGCCCACAGCTTAGTGGTGCAGTAAGTACCAGCTATTTCTCCATATTTCTACTAACAATCATCAACAGACTGGGAGCCAGTGGATGTTTTGACTTGGCAGCTTTGTTGGAGTTTTCTATGAGGGGAAAGCCTGGTTCTGAAGGGTTATGTGATTTCAGACATTTTTGTCCCTCTGAAAACATGTCTGTTTAGGATTTCTACTTCCTGGTGTGCAGTGCAAAGATGTCCACATGGGACAACTGTTGCTTCTTGATGTTTATGTATGGAAGGGGGTGACCTAGTGAAACACGTTCAGCAATAATAAATATTCCATTGCTTCGGAAATTCAGAAAGTTCAGGAAAGCAATGTGATTCCTTTAAAAAAAACTTTTGTGTGAATGGGTTTTTGGAGAACTGTGTCCCTTCTCGAGGGGCACAAAACACGAATGAATCAAACTCATATTTCATATAAGACTACAGCAGGACAACAAATCATTTAATGTAATGTAATAATGTAATATCTTAATAAATATTATAAAATAAATATAAATAATGATTCCATACAGGCCTTGAGTTTAATAAATAGAAGGGAAAAAAATCACAATTAAAACAGCAAACACAAATTGGTCAGAAAAATCCTAATGATGTTTTCCTCAAATCATGGTGGAATCATGGTGGTTAGACTTAGATTATTTTGTAACAAAAAAGAAAATGAATATCCTTGTTCATATATCAAACCGTACAGATGTCTTTCTTGAATGTTTTTCAGTGGTGAGACCATCGGTAAACATTTCTGAATATTTGTAGTTTATAAAAATAACACACACATGGTTACAATACATTATTCTTACACTTCATTCTACATGCACAGTGTCAAAATTGACAGTAATGTGGCGATCGGATTTTCCAGCTCGACTTTACCTCTCAATTATGTTGAGCATCACCCAGGGAAATTCTATTACCTCAAGAAATCTATAAAGTAACTCTATGACTCAATTGTTCTCCATAGCTGTAATTTTATTTTGCCTCAAGGACCCTTCTCAAGTGTTTCCTATTCATTTTACGTTGTGAGTTTTTGTCAGATTCTGCTTTATTGCAATTTTTAACTGACAAAGTGTTTTTTTTTAACAAGCCAATATTCAGTGACTGAATGATGGCTTTTGTTTGGAATCTGTGAAGTTTGATTATTTCTCAGCTTTGCACATCACAGGTGCCCTAATTTATGCAATATATAAATATTTTGTGTGTATTCTCTGTCAGTCTGCATGACTCTCTCATACATTAAATGCGTTGTAGATGTTGGTCGCAAATGTTCCTTGCAGAGGAAGCTGGAGGACTGAATCCTAGTGCATCGGAGGGTAACGGAGGGTGAAGAGCAGGGCGAGGGGAGAAAGGGGTGGGGTAGCAGGATGCACACATACACACAAACACACACAGAGGCACACATTTGCCACTAACTTGCCACTTAGAGAGTTTTGTAGCACAGCTGTATATCTTTCATGCTCCAAAGCCAGCTGACACACAATACATAGGATATTTTGTTCTTTTGCAAATGATGACATCTGCTGAATAAATTACTAAAATGAATGTGGATCATAACTAAGTCCAGATTGACACAGCAGGATATTACGGCTGAGTGTCTACCTTTTTCCCCATAACATCTCCAATGAAACTAGACTATTTTATGTTCAACAATAATATCATTTTTCATTCCAATTCATCCCACGAGAGGCGGAAAAAAGAAAGAAAAATCCAATATTTACAATCCCGTTCATAACTTTGCACTCAGCTAATATATTGGTAGTGCTTTACCCTTGATTACTGGGTGGTGTGTGTCCAGGCTGCCTGCAGAGATAAAGGAGCAGTGATTCATATATTACTACTCTCTGCCTTGGAATACAATGTGCTGAGTGACATCTACCATAATTCACAAGGACAGAAAATATGGCTCCATATTTGTGCCTCTGTGTGTGTGTGTGTGTGTGTGTGTGTGTGTGTGTGTGTGTGTGTGTGTGTGTGTGTGTGTGTTTTACTGACACCATTTATTTTCAGTGTTGGGAAGTGATGCATTACTAGTAGCATGTTACGGTAATTTGATTTTTCCAGTAACAAGTAGTCCATTTTTTGCTGTCTTACCAGGAAGTTGATGAAGGGTTGATGTTAATTTTCGTTCCCGTTTGTTAAGTTTACACTGATCCATGAGGTGTTAGCTAGCTAAAAGGTCTGGTTGAATCCATTCTGGCTCTGACTTATTCCAATAGCCTACTTCCTGTGACCCAGACTAGCTGGGCTTGGTGCTGATTGGTCAGGGAGGTGGCTAACCTCCGGCAAAGAAGAGAAATGTGACTCCCGCTAACAAGAAGTACACCTCCCAGTCCCTCCAATGAGCTGGCCTGTTAGCATGATGATTCCTATATTTAGGTGATTATACGCTGTGATGAAAATATTATATGGAATTTCTGCCAATAGATGCTCCTACATTTGCACACTGGACCACATTTCTTGTTTTCTGCATAGTAAATGTGATGTGTGGGCATTTGGGTTTTTTAAAGGGACTTTGGTGGAGCTCTGCTGGGTAACTATGTATGTAATTAATTACCTTGTTGAGTAATCAGTAAAGTAACATAATTCATTTTTCAATGAGTAATATGCACTATGTAATGAATTAACCTTTTCAATTAACTTTTCTAATACTGTTGATTTTTTAAAATGGCATTAGTCACGTATAAACTAAATATTCAGCATGACTGCAGAGGCACACAAAGGGGCCCTTTTATGTACAGCTCATAAGCCACTCTGAAGGTCGTTCAGCCCAATCTCTCCTCTAAGCAATCGCAGTCTGGCCTAATGTGCTTTGAATTAAACCAACGGAGGGGGAAACATCAAATTGCTGTTCTAATTTACCAATAATAACAGAGTACAACCTTCTAATTATAATGACATATAAACAGTTTGTGTGCTCTGGAGGAACCAGAGCACACAAACAGCAATCACAAACATGACAACTCACCAGCTGGAAAATCCTGTCATTTGCTTTTATAGTGAGGGACATGAGAGGCAAAGCAACAAAGCCATAATATCAAACTGAGAGTGTGGATTGATTTTATATCGTCCTGCTGTGGAATCACAGCCGCTGCGGTTAAATGGCCCGAACATACAGCAGCAAAGAGAAGGCTGGATATACTGTTAGCATACAGCAATAATATAATTTGCTCTCTCTTGCCAAGAATAAATGTGTTATGATAGATAAATGTTTAGCTGGCTAATACAAATATATAACCAGGAAAAAACGTATCTTATTTCCCCACTGATATTTTATTAATTTCTTAATAATAGGATACAGAACCTTTCTCAAAGGCTACTTTATACTTGGCTCTTCTGACTTTTGGTGACTATTGGAAAATGGTGCACAGTGAGATTTTACCACAGCACCTTTTTTTGGAATACATGAGCTATTGGAAAACTCAATGGGTCATGAAAATTTAATATATATTTTACTTAGTCTACTCTCTTAAAATTATTTAAAACATACACCTTTCTTTTTTTTTTTATTGGTTTCCACTCGCGTCTTTCATTGCTCTAACTGGGTTTTTGTAAAAGAGCCCCTTGACAATCTATCAGCGCTGGTTAATACATTTTTGGGCTAAATTCTGAAGCGACCCATAAATGTTTCCTCAATAAAAAGCTGCAAGCTAAACTCATGAATCCACATGGTGACAGCTGCCTGGCAGGCTACGTGGAAGTTCCTTTACTCCTAATGCACGCTGATAGCATCACATGTTTACTGCATCACAGGCCACACCAGGAAGCTGCCAGTGGACACAGGAAATGGTAGGAACCTGGCATGTTTAGCCATCACTGTGGAAAACACGTACTGTGTAGCACTGTTTTATAAGGCTGTGGTTTAATATCCATCACAGCCGCAGGGGCAAAGGAATCTCCCATTCTACAAGCTTAATTATTCCGTACATAAAGGATGAATATTCCACACACACACACACACACACACACACACACACACACACACACACACACACATACACACAGGTATGATATTACCCTGAATGTGTTATTAGTTTCCCAGGAATGTAACTGGGATAAGAGGGGATGAGGACATTTGTTCAGTTGCTGGTATTGACTGTTCCCATACATGGCAACTTTCACTAGTATCAATTATCTACAAAATAACAGTGTGTGGATAAAAACCCTAGTCTGGGCTACTATACATGGTAAAACAGAGAGAGATATGCATACACATAATCTCTGCCTATATGATTATGACTAACACCCCTCTGTATGTAGCACATTCACAAAACACAGTAATATATCTGGCATTTTCATTGTCGTAGTGACATGTCTAACTGCGTGCCCCTTTCCTCCCAGATAAGGAGAGGAAATTAGTCAGCAAAGGAAGTCAGAATTTTAATAAAAGAAAAGATTTTCTTCTATCTTTAAGCTGAATAGAAAAGGTGAATAATTCATCCAAAAATCGAAACAAATAAAACCACATGTACATACCCATATATATTATTTATTAGCTTTAAAGTATTGCCTTTCACTGTTTTATCGGAATACATTTTAATTGTGCTCCCAGGAAAAGTCCTTTGGAGCTCGCAGGCTATTAAATACAAGAAAGAGAGAAAAGAGGAGTGCCAAAGCAAACCTTCATGGAGATTTGAAGTGCAAAGAGAAACTCAAGGATTCCATTAACTCAACGGTTGTTTTAAAAGTGTTTTCTGCCACACTAGCAGCATAGCTATATGAATGTTTGTCAGTTCACAAATTTTGGTCTAGACTGAAATATCTCAACATCTACTTGACCGATTTCCATGAAATTTTGTACAAACATTCACGGTCCCCAGAGGATGAGGCCTGCTGATTTTTGTGTACAACTGGCTTTTCCTGTTGCGCCCCCAGCAGGACAAAT